AAACACTACATTTCTTGCAGGTGTGAAAGTGACAACATATTTCGCATTGAAAACAGAAGTGATATAACATTATTTTGCATCCACTGTGTGATGAGACACCTAGCTCTCAGTTGGGAAGCCTTACTTTCATCATTCACTGTGTGCGCTGCTAGTAACGTGACGTACTAACACGAGTACCATGTTACTACTAGTAACATAGAGTAACATGGAGCTTACTGAGTTTCAGAGAGGGAAAATAGTGCCGCTTAGATGGTGCCTCTGTGACTGAAGTTGGCAATTTATTTGCCGTGTCGCAAGGTACAGTATCAAAGGTTATGACGGCGTACACAGTTTTTGGGAAAACGTTGTCTGATGAGCATAAGCGCAGTCAGCATGGTCAACTGATCAAAAGAGACAAAAGGACATTGCGCAGGATTGTGACCCGGTATAAGAAAACATCTGCTGCAAAAGTGACTGCAGAGCTCAATCTCCGTTTTCATGGGGCTGAGATTAAAGTGATACTAAACCCAGGAATCTGCATTCACTATATCTGGTCTCCCACAGTACACACAACATGGAAATGCAGTTATTTTAGTAAATATAAACTGCTAAATACCTTTTCTCATCAGTAGAGCAGTCTTGTGGCTTCAGCAGAGCACTGGTTAAAGCTTGTAGGAGTTTTCTTTTTTTGCTCTAGAAGGATTCAGAACCTCTGACCTCTGTCTGGACAGTGCTGATTGGCCCTGTGCTGATCACATGCACTCTCCCAAGAAAGGAGAAAAAAACCTCTCTAGCAATACACACCAAATTGAGCATGTGTAGAGTGTCTCCACACAATATGCCTTATCAGGAGATAAGAGGGGGACACCGATAGAAGAGGAGGATCAGAGAAGTTGGGATCAAACAGCATTTTTTACACAATGCAGAGGATTAACCCCTTAGGTTCCACAGTGAGTATATCAAGCATGCTTTACTGCATATACAGACTGATTTTTACTGTTGTGGGTTTAGTAACACTTTAAGCTCTGCAGTCACTTTTGCAGCACGTTTTCTTATTCCGGGCTAGCTAAGTGGGCACCAACAATTTGCCCACTGTGGAGCTCAGTAAGCTCCATGTTACTAGTGTACACAGTGCATACGCTGTGAATGACAAAAGTGAGGCTTTTCACTTGTTAGCTAGGTGTCTCATCGCACAGCATAAGCAAAAGAATGCAGTCACTTTTGCAGCACGTTTTCTTATTCCAGGCCAGCTAAGCGGGCACCAACAATTTGCCCACTGTGGATCTCAGTAAGCTCCCTGTTACTAGCAGTGCACACAGTGAATGATGAAAGTGAGGCTTCCGACCTGTTAGCTAGGTGTCTCGTCACACAGCGGAAGTATAAGAATGCAGTCACTTTTGCAGCACATATAGTGAGGAACAGAAGTATTTGAACACCCTGCGATTTTGCAAGTTCTCCCACTTAGAAATCATGGAGGGGTCTGAAATTCACATTGTAGGTGCATTCCCACTCTGAGAGACAGAATTAAAGAAAAAAATTCAGGAAATCACATTGTATGATTTTTAAAGAATTTATTTGTCTTGCACTGCTGAACATAAATATTTGAACACCTAAGAAACAGCAAGAATTCTGGCTCTCAAAGACCTGTTACTGTGCCTTTAAAAAGTCCACCTCTACTCCGCTCATTAATCTAACTTAGTAGCAACTGTCTGAGCTCTTTAAAGACACCTGTCCACCCCACAGTCAGTCAGACACCAACTACTACCATGGGCAAGACCAGAGAGCTGTCAAAAGACACCAGAGACAAAATTGTGGACCTCCACAAGGCTAGAAAGGGCTACGGGGCAATTGCCAAGCAGCTTGGTGAAAATAGATCAACTGTTGGAGCAATTGTTAGAAAATGGAAGAGGCTAAAGATGACCGTCAGTCTCCCTCGGACTGGGGTTCCATGCAAGATTTCACCTCGTGGGGTATCACTGATGATAAGAAAGGTGAGGAATCAGTCCAGAACTACAAGGGAGGAGCTGGTCAATGACATGAAGAGAGCTGGGACCACAGTTTCAAAGGTCACTGTCGGTAGAACACTACGCCGTCATGGTTTCAAATCATCCATTGCACGGAAGGTTCCCCTCCTCAAGTCATCACATGTCCAGGCCTGTCTGAAGTTTGTCAATGACCATCTGGATGATCCAGAGGAGGCATGGGAGAAAGTCATGTGGTCAGATGAGACCAAAGTAGAACTTTTTGGTCTAAACTTCACTCGTCATGTTTGGCGGAAAAAGAAGGATGAGTTGCATCCCAAGAACACCATCCCAACTGTGAAGCATGGGGGTGGTAACATTATGCTTTGGGGGTGCTTTTCTGCAAAGGGGACAGGACGACTGTACTGTATTAAGGAGAGAATGAATGGGGCATTTATTGTGAGATTTTGAGCAACAACATCCTTCCCTCAGTCAGAGCATTGAAGATGGGTCGTGGCTGGGTCTTCCAACATGACAACGACCCGAAGCACACAGCCAGGATAACCAGGGAGTGGCTCCGTAAGAAGCATATCAAGGTTCTGGAGTGGCCTAGCCAGTCTCCAGACCTAAATCCAATAGAACATCTTTGGAGGGAGCTGAAACTCCGTGTTGCTCAGCGACAGCCCCGAAACCTGACAGATCTAGAGGAGATCTGTGTGGAGGAGTGGGCCAAAATCCCTGTTGCAGTGTGTGCAAACCTGGTCAAGAACTACAGGAAATGTTTGACCTCTGTAATTGCAAATAAAGGCTTTTGTACCAAATATTAACACTGATTTTCTCAGGTGTTCAAATACTTATGTTCAGCAGTGCAAGACAAATAAATTCTTTAAAAATCATACAATGTGATTTCCTGAATTTTTTTTTTAATTCTGTCTCTCAGAGTGGGAATGCACCTACAATGTGAATTTCAGACCCCTCCATGATTTCTAAGTGGGAGAACTTGAAAAATCCACGGGTGTTCAAATACTTCACTGTATGTTCTTATTCTGGGCCAGCTAAGCGGACACCGACAATTTGCCCACTGTGGAGCTCAGTAAGCTCCATGTTACTAGCAGTGCATACAGTGAATGACGAAAGTGAGGCTTCCCACCTGTTAGCTAGGTGTCTCATCACACAGCGGAAGCAAAAGAATGCAGTCACTTTTGCAGCACATATTTTCTTATTCCAGGCATGCTAAGCGGACACCGAAAATTTGCCCACTGTGGAGCTCAGTAAGCTCCATGTAACTAGCAGCACATGCAGTGAATGACGAAAGTGAGGCTTCCGACCTGTTAGCTAGGTGTCTCATCACACAGCGGAAGCATAAGAATGCAGTCACTTTTGCAGCACATATTTTCTTATTCCGGGCCAGCTAAGCGGACACCAACAGTTTGCCCACTGTGGAGCTCAGTAAGCTCCATGTTACTAGCAGCACACGCAGTGAATGACGAAAGTGAGGCTTCCGACCTGTTAGCTAGGTGTCTCATCACACAGCGGAAGCATAAGAATGCAGTCACTTTTGCAGCACATATTTTCTTATTCCGGGCCAGCTGCTAAGCGGACACCAACAGTTTGCCCACTGTGGAGCTCAGTAAGCTCCATGTTACTAGCAGCACACACTATGAATGACATAAGTGAGGCTTCCCACCTGTTAGCTAGGTGTCTCATCACACAGCGGAAGCAAAATAATGTTACATCACTTTTGCTTTCATCAAGAAACATGTCACTTTCAAACCTTCAAATCATGTAGTGTTTCCTTCTTTTTTTTCTAACCCCCATATATGTGTCCAATTTACACCACACCACTGGTATAATGTGTGGCACAGTGCAGCACAGAAAAATGCAGCATGTCCACATTTTTCTTGGCACACTGGATGACCGCACACGTCGCTGCACTGCAGCACAAGGCACCAGGCTGGTATTGGTAGACATGAATGAAGTATCTGTGACCATCATTAGGGGTTCCTGCTCTTCTTGTTGGAATTTTGTTTATTTTCTATTATAGAGAATCAGGGGCAGACTGACCATTTGAGCACGCGGGCACTGCCCGAGGGCCCAAGGTCAGTAGGGGGCCCCATGAGATGCCCCTGGTACCTTTCAGAGGCTTTTTTTTGGTGTGGTTTGAGTGTGGGCGAGGGACACAGGGGCCCCATGATCCCCTATTGCCCGGGGGCCCCATGAGTTGTTAGTCCGCCCCTGCAGAGAATGCAATAGGAGGAGCTGAAACACACAAAGGGTGAGAAAATCCCCATAACACTCTGGAGGACAGGAGTCAGGATTAATGACACTGGAATCTCACTGTCAGAGTATCCAAGAGGCCAGGAACTGACTGAGCCCACCAGGCTCCACCTATAATGAACATATTCCTATTAGGTGGATCATCCCTTCAAAGCATCACCATGTTTTATTTTCCTATAGTGCTGATCTTTTGCATGCAGTATTTTCCAGAACTCTTCAGTCATACAGATTTGTTTATCAATCGTGGATTTGTGTGTGTTATATAATGTAAGTAAAGGTGGTGAATTCAATGAATGCAATCATTGTTTATATATCATCACTGCATTGAATGTTCACTTAACAAAGATTTTCCAACCCGGTTAGGTCTGATCCCCATGCAGGACTTTGAATGTAATCTGGTTATGAGCCATTCGATATGTCAGTGCTCAGTCTGTTCTTTGCCCTTTGAATATGTGAACTGAACAAATACAAGGTATCTGAATGCAGAGGGACAAGTTGCATAATATAATACAAACAAACATATTTTCAGAAATTGCCGTCTCTATGTAGTCCCTTTCTTTCCATTGCATTGGGTATATTCTAAACATAACATTTAGGTTGTCAATGGCTTCTAATGAGATGTGGCTTTAACAGAGAGGACTGTCCGCTTTCTTTTCAGTATTTTGTTTTCGGGGCAGGAATTTCCTAATTTCCCTTAGCAAGCTGCAGCTTGAACTCGTGACTCTCATTGTCACATCAGCTACACAAAGGGAATTGAGAGATTTCCTTAAATAAGATCACAGCATGGCTGGAAAGACATACCTGATCATTCTAACATTTCTACCTGTCGTTCTCCTGGAACAGCCACAAAATGGTAAGAATATCTCTTATTTAAATGTGTTGGGTGCCTTGGGTGACACTTTATTGTGTGGAAAGTCTTCTGATGGTATACATCAGGGATCTCCAAACTTTCTAAACAAAGGGCCAGTTTACTGGCTTTCAGATTTTAGGGGGGCCAGACTGTGGCCATTGGGAGTAGAAATTGTCCTATGTCATTGGGAGTAAACAGTGCATCTTTGGCATTAGGGGAGGAATAGTGCCCTACTCTTGGTGGAAGTTGGAGAAATAGTGCCCCAATGTTGGTGTCAGTGGGAAGTATGGTGTCCGTTGTTAGTGACAGTGGGAGCAATAGTGCCTCATGATTTGTTTCAGAGAGGAATAGTGCCCAGTTGTTTGTGTAAATGGGAGGAATAGTGCCCCATCGTAGGTGTCAATGGGAGGAATAGTGCCCTATTCTTGGTGAAAGTTGGAAAAATAATGCCCCTTTGTTGGTGTGTCAGTGGGAAGTATGGTGCCTTGTTGCTAGTGACAGTGGGAATAGTGCCTCATGGTTTGTTTCAGTGAGAGGAATAGTGCCAAATTGTTGGTGTAAATGGGAGGAATAGTGTCCCATCGTAGGTGTCAATGGGAGGAATAGTGCCTGTTGCTGATGTCAATAGCAGGAATTATGCCCCTTGTTGTTGTCAGTGAGAGGAATAGTATCTTGTATCAGTGGGGCCCCAAGGGCCAGATAAGGGCAAGCAAAGAGCCACATCCGGCCCCTGGGCCGTAGTTTGGAGACCACTAGTATACGTATATTAGCTATATAAGAGGTAATGGTATGCGTAAATGTTCGCATAATCTAAATGATTTTCCAATCTGTGATATATATATATATATACTGTATATACACACAATTGCAGCAGAGCCATTAAGATATTTGAAAATGGACTTGCGCCTGATTAAATAACGATAGGATTGCAGCCTACTGCGCAGCAGCACCAACCATTGCATATTCATGAATGTCAGATGAATAAATAATTGTCTGAGGGTCTGGTCACAGCCGCATAGTGTTCTACTTCCACAAATCAGAGAACGTAAGTCAGAAGAGAATTCTCTATCATGTTATAGTACTGTTATGTATATTTAATGTTTGAATAGCATAGGAATATGTTTAATTATCCAATGCTATTTCTGCAGTGCGTCAGCAAAATATATTAAAATTCATGTGTAATTCTAATGCTTGACATATACATAAATTACCAATAATGTCAATATTAAAATATAATAAAGGCTTCAGTACATATTTCAATAGATAAGGGACCTTACAGATATTTGAAATTTGCTGTAATACAGTATGTTTTCTGTAATTGGACAAGGCCATGTGCAATGCCTGATAATTAGTTCTAAAATTGAAAATCCTTTCCATTTAGAATAGATTTGTCTCGATAGGTTTACTTTTGCTAAACTAGTTCCAAGATACTTGTACAAGTACAAACTCAGCCTAATATTAAACTCTCTAGCAATTTTAGCACCTGATTTATTAATTTACTAAGCATGTATCTTGTTTATCTTTTAATCTTTGCTTATATACCAGTTTAAGCTGCTACCATGAGCACTGCCCCAGATTTCCTGTTTCAGGGTTGCTCCTTTAATTTGCTGCATCCTATGGAGCCATCCTTGCATGCAGAGACTAGAGTTGTGTCTTCCTACCCTTTGTACATCAATAGAAGAACATAGCCATGGGGCACTATCTGCTCCCCCTATTCCTCCTCCTCCTTTTTCTAAGCTAACAGACTGGCTGGAGAGTGCACTGTCCACTGTCAAGTCTTTCCTGTGAAGGCTGGAAGTTCAGGGAAGCAGCACTGTGAGATCAAGAGCTAGTAGCACTTAAAATTGTAAACTGCAAGTACTGGGGTAAGTATGCTAACACATGGTTTACTGGGAAATGTTTATTTTACTGTGTTCAGCAATAAAACGCTGAGGATTTAATGCTACTTTAAATTGTAATTAAACTGTTAATAAACCCAGGACCCTGCATTCACTCTGTCTGGTCTCCCACAGTACATAGAATATGGAAATGCAATTATTTTAGTAACTTTAAACTGCTAAATACCTTTTTTCATCAGCAGTTAGAGCAGTCTTGTGACTTCTATCAGTTTCCAGCAGAACACTGGTTAAAGCTTGTAGGAGGAGTTTTCATTCTCCCCTGATTGTCCTATGAGGCTGCAGGACCCCTAACCCTCTGTCTGTACAGTGCTGACTGGCCCTGTGCTGATCACATGCACTCTACAAAGAAATTAAAGCTCTCTAGCAATACACACCAAACTGAGCATATGCAGCTTGCCCCCAAGGTTCTGTTCTATCAGCAGTTAGATTAGGGACAGTAGAAGAAGGGGAGGATCAGCGAAGAGAGGATCAAACATCCTTTTTGCATAATGCAGGGGATTAACCACTTAAGTTCCACAGTGAGTATACCAAGCATGCTTTACTGAATTTACAGACTGATTGTACTTTTGTGGGGGTTTATTAACACTTTAATTGCTCCACTTAAGTGTATCTTTTATAAATGAAGAGATATGCACAGAAATATATTTTCTCATAGAACCTTTTCCAGCCTCTCAGAAGGTGAAAATGTATTGGGTAGTAAAAAAAATTGCATCTCCAAGTCCACATAATATTTGCTTTTATCCCTGATCCATGAACTCCTCCTATTGTTAAGAAATTCAGGAGGTTGGAGTTTTGGACCAGTGTGAATGGAAGAGTATGTTATCACTGGCATGCATTATGACGTCATTACATGTATGTCAGTTAATGTTAACCTGTGAGGATGGAAATATGGGATGTGCCATTGTTTGCTTATTTGTAAATGTGCAGGTTCCAGAGCTGTCATCATCATTATGACTTCATTAACCAAGTGGGCCTGGGAGAAGAATAAACACAGCAAAATCTGAAAATCCTGAACTCCTGTCCTGCATGCTTGTTTCTGGACAGTGACTCAGTGAAGCAGGGTCAGAATGACATCTGTAGACTCAGCACCCTTGAAAACAAGGCAGCAATGACAGCTACCATATTTTGTCCTCACTAGTTTCCTTTAGGGATCATCGAAATGGACAAAAGACATCAGAGGTTTGAAGTTCAGCATGCCCTTAAGAAGATGTTTTTTTTTTAAACAGAGTTTAACTTCCATCCAAAGTATCTTGTAGTTGTAAACCTCCGACACGAATTACGAACAAAGCATATCCTTCTATAGTGTGTACTTGTCTCAATCACGCACTAAGTGTCATTTATCTCTGCTGCTTCATTCCTCTGCTATCAGCATGAGTCACTTTTAACAAGTTTTCCTGACACCAAGAGAAAAATGGTGACAGGGAATGGACCTTCAACAGATTGACAACCTCAGCTCTGTTCCTGTGAGCTGTGTGAAGGGGGGGGGGGTGTCTCTTCCCTCCAATCAACTCTCAGAGCTCCCCTAACAGAGCTCTGCAGAGTGTAACTTCAGCTCTCCGCCCCTTTTTACTGAACTGTCAGACAAGCTTTGTAAGCTCAGTACTTTGAACGGATGTAGAGAAGAGAATACTGCAGATAAACAGGTACAACTTATGTGGGAGGATTTGTTTTATCTGTGCGTATCACCAGAAGCCACTCACTTCACTTGGTATATGCAGGGTTTACAATCACTGTGTTACATTAGATTCAGAGTACAATTTCCAATTAATGGTATGTCTGAAAGCACAGACGCATGCAAACCATACCCTATTTTACACAGTTTTATACATATACAGTCAGGTCCATAAATATTGGGACATCCACACAATTCTAACATTTTTGGCTCTATACACCACCACAATGGATTTGAAATGAAATGAACAAGATGTGCTTTAACTGCAGACTGTCAGCTTTAATTTGAGGGTGTTTACATCCAAATCAGGTGAACAGTGTAGGAATTACAACAGTTTGCATATGTGCCACCCGCTTGTTAAGGGACCAAAAGTAATGGGACAATTGGCTTCTCAGCTGTTCCATGGTCAGGTGTGTGTTTATTCCCTCATTATCCCAATTACAATGAGCAGATAAAAGGTCCAGAGTTCATTTCAAGTGTGCTATTTGCATTTGGAATCTGTTGCTGTCAACTCTCAAGATGAGATCCAAAGAGCTGTCACTATCAGTGAAGCAAGCCATCATTAGGCTGAAAAAACAAAACAAACCCATCAGAGAGATAGCAAAAACATTAGGCGTGGCCAAAACAACTGTTTGGAACATTCTTAAAAAGAAGGAACGCACCGGTGAGCTCAGCAACACAAAAAGACCCGGAAGACCACGGAAAACAACTGTGGTGGATGACCAAAGAATTCTTTCCCTGGTGAAGAAAACACCCTTCACAACAGTTGGCCAGATCAAGAACACTCTCCAGGAGGTAGGTGTATGTGTGTCAAAGTCAACAATCAAGAGAAGACTTCACCAGAGTGAATACAGAGGGTTCACCACAAGATGTAAACCATTGGTGAGCCTCAAAAACAGGAAGGCCAGATTAGAGTTTGCCATACGACATCTAAAAAAGCCTTCACAGTTCTGGAACAACATCCTATGGACAGATGAGACCAAGATCAACTTGTACCAGAGTGATGGGAAGAGAAGAGTATGGAGAAGGAAAGGAACTGCTCATGATCCTAAGCATACCACCTCATCCGTGAAGCATGGTGGTGGTAGTGTCATGGCGTGGGCATGTATGGCTGCCAATGGAACTGGTTCTCTTGTATTTATTGATGATGTGTGACTGCTGACAAAAGCAGCAGGATGAATTCTGAAGTGTTTCGGGCAATATTATCTGCTCATATTCAGCCAAATGCTTCAGAACTCATTGGACGCCGCTTCACAGTGCAGATGGACAATGACCCAAAGCATACTGCAAAAGCAACCAAAGAGTTTTTTTAGGGAAAGAAGTGGAATGTTATGCAATGGCCAAGTCAATCACCTGACCTGAATCCGATTGAGCATGCATTTCACTTGCTGAAGAGAAAACTGAAGGGAAAATGCCCCAAGAACAAGCAGGAACTGAAGACAGTTGCAGTAGAGGCCTGGCAGAGCATCACCAGGGATGAAACCCAGCGTCTGGTGATGTCTATGAGTTCCAGACTTCAGGCTGTAATTGACTGCAAAGGATTTGCAACCAAGTATTAAAAAGTGAAAGTTTGATTTATGATTATTATTCTGTCCCATTACTTTTGGTCCCTTAACAAGTGGGAGGCACATATGCAAACTGTTGTAATTCCTACACCGTTCACCTGATTTGGATGTAAATACCCTCAAATTAAAGCACATCTTGTTTGTTTCATTTCAAATCCATTGCGGTGCTGTATAAAGCCAAAAATGTTCGAATTGTGTGGATGTCCCAATATTTATGGACCTGACTGTAATTTGTCTTAAGGGACATTCAGAGTATGTTTTTACTGGACTTCTTCTTAAAATAAAGGCTGCCTGGCTTTCTTTGTCTTTAGTGCTTTCTGAGCCTCTGACCTGGAAGAAGCATACAGATTAGGGCCTGTGTTGCTTGGCTTTTGTATAGGAAAGCAAAACCCACCTGAAACGAGTCAAAACACAGGTCAGAAATATGTAATCTGCAGGTCAAATGCACCTGTCAATGACTTCTGAAGGATCGCCAAAGCATCTCAAACTGACTTCAAATAGATACCATTGATGCAAGCCCGAAAATGGCACTGGTCCTTAGAGAAAAAAAAGTGAAGACAGAACACCTGAGTTTATTCCAGGTTGGAGATTTTGGAATTGGGGATGAGCTTGGGCATGTGCGGATCCTAGTTTGAACCCATGTGAGTGAGCATGTTAGGAAGATGTCATCTCTACTGTGCCAGGGGTAAGCAGCCGAGGCATTCCCCACCCTGCAGATGCACGTATACATGCCCCTTGTGGTGGCTGGGGACTGCCTTGGCCTCTTATGATTGGCACAGTAGAGGTGACAGCTTCTTGGCAGCTCAGTTCATGTGGATTTGGACTAGGATCTGAACACACCCAAGGTCATCTCTATTAGGAAGTACTGAAGCCCCTGGATCAGTATGACAGCCAAGTAATTAGTATTTTTAGCAGAGAAGCAGAGGTCAGGAATTTTAGCCTTCATATTTCTTTTTTTTAGTAGAGGATGTCTTACATTAAGATGAAGATTTGTTCAGTGGCACCACCTCGCTTGAACTGTAGAACAGTGTGGTTTTTTGTATACGGTCCTCTCTACAGACCTTACAGGATAGTTCAATGTCTGCCAAAAGTATGCTTGAATCTGTTCGAGTAAAGCTCTGTTAATTGACATGACTCTGGATGTAACAGTCATTCTTGAATTGCAGTTTTTGTGAATCATGACATGGCACACAGCATTTTGGGGAGGTTCAAGCGTGCAAATTCAGCTTTTGAAGAATTTAAGAAGGGAAATCTGGAAAGAGAGTGTCGTGAGGAAACCTGCAGCTACGAGGAAGCTCGGGAGATATTTGAGGATGATGTGAAAACTGTAAGGATTGCTTGCATGTTCTGATATTTTGTTAAAGCCCTTCCTTAAAGATTCTGGAGCATCTCTAGAAAGTCCAGTGGAAATTGTTTTGTCCAAAAAACCCCATTATTTTTTTGTTGAAGATTCAGTTGATATACTCTTGTAAATGTGTTACACTTTGTTAACAGGTTGTCCTGTTTGCACAAAACAGTTACTTTTCATGGATAAAAGAATCTTCTTACAGTCTGATAATTTCTGCAGATTTCCTTGTGTATTTCCACTTTTCCAGGCATGTTATGCAAAGAGGTAGAACCCGATCACTCACAGGGCAACCTAGACAGGAGCCTATGGCCCGGTGAATGTCCAGGGGGGCCAGCTACAACATTCATGCTCCTGAAGACCATGGCAATACAGACAATGCAAATAGGGTGGCATTTAGGAATCAAACCTACCATCCGGCCTAGGGCCCAATTCTGCTTTATCCCTCTTTGCCAAGAGGTAAAAATACAAGGTGCACGCTGTGCCAATAATGCACTTGAATTCCAGGTATGGATATATTTTCAGTTACATTGGCCCAGCTTGGACCGATGGAACTATGTATATACTGTATCTGGCTGGTCTTCTACTACAGTGATCTCCATTAGTTTCTGAGTCTCATGCAGGGGCGGACTGACCATTGCGGCAATGGCCACTGCCCGAGGTCCCGGGGTCAATAGGGGGCCCCATGAGATGCCCCTGGTACCTCCCATAGGCTGTTTTGGGTGTGGTTTTGAGTGTGGGCAAAGACACAGGGGCCCCATGATCCCCTATTGCCCGGGGGCCCCATGAGTTGCCAGTCCGCCCCTGGTCCCATGTCACTATTGTTCTCAAATCTTCCTATCCTGTCTGCCTTTCCTCTGCAAATTGGCAACTCGTCTGTCTTAATGTAAACCTGGAGCTGTAGTAATATGCCAACAAGTTCTTTTTTTTTTATCACACTCTTTTCACACAGAGTGAAGTCTGGTCTGATCAGCAGGAGACCTGTGAGCAGAACCTCTGCTGAAACAGGATGGATGTCATTTTTTTTACATTTGTGTCCATTCAGTTTATGCCTGGCGGACACAGTCAGACCCATGACAACTTTATGGGCAGCTGGATGTAAATGGATTGCGCTGATTGTTTACATCAGGCTACCTTCGATCTTTCACGTTTAGGTCTCGAAAAAACAACAGTCTTTTTCCATTTCTTTCCATGCCTGGATGGACTCAGAGGTAGACAGGTGTAAGGCCCCTTTCAGATGGGGCAGACTCTATCAAGCAGATCCTCCTGCTCAGCGGAGGATCTCTCCGCTGATCCCTGCTGAGAAGGCAGATGACAGATCTGTGTCCGCTCCACTATGCAAAGCAGACACGGACACAGCCCGCTGTTCTCTTTAGGGCAGTCATATGGAAATGGACCGCCTGTCCGTTTTCATCCGACTATCGTCTGATCCAATCTGCCGGAGAGGTGGGGAATCGATCCCTATCCGTCTGTTTTTAGCGGACGGGATTGGATTGGATTGGATGCGGGTGGGTGTCAGTGTACACAGGTTCGCTGACATCTGCCACTTCATAGAGAACTATGGATGGTCTGATCGGGTCTGCCTGAAAAAACGATCGATCTTTCTATGTGAAAGAAGTCAAAATGGACACAAGTCTGTTTACATCTGCCAGTCCATAGGGCTGCATAGAGTTTCCCATCAGATCACCTGAGAAGATGACAGGTGGACTTGACTGGAATGCTCTTACATCTGCCTGTTCCGAAGCATTGTGTTAATGCACAAGTGTTAGCATGCTTTGTGTTAAGGAAGCCCATTCAAATGAATGGACTGCCATTTCACTAGAATGGACAAAAAAATCTGATATTTATTTCAGTTACTTATATAGCGCCGTCAATTTACGCAGCGCTTTACATATATATTGTACATTCACATCAGTCCCTAACCCTCAAGGGGTGTACAATCTAAAGTCCCTAACTTACATTCATACATACACATACTAGGGACAATTTAGACAGGAGCGTGGAGTGTGGGAGGAAAGCGGAGTACCCGGAGTAAACCCATGCAGTCACAGGGAGAACATGCAAACTCCAGGCAGGTGGTGCCGTGGCTGGGATTCAAACCAACGACCCTAGTACGGCCAGGCGGAAGTGCTAACCATTTAGCCACTGTGCTGCCCCACAGGGGCAACATTTTGTCTAAAGCAATTAAATTAATCCATATTCAGTCAAGTAGACCCTTGCACTACATAGAGTATATGTTGGTAGATTGTTCAGAAAGACTGTAACGTGTGGCGGGCTTTAAAGCATTATTGAACCCAAAAGCAAACCTATATTATATTGCAGCTTACCAATTCTTAGATGTGGAGGCTATATTATTTTTTTTAATTTTATTTTCACCAGGTGATCCTGCCAGTTCGTCTGATGTTTTTCAACAGAACAAGCTCTACTGCAAATGTAGCAGTTAGAGCATTGAGACAAACCATTTACCATTGACAAGGGTGCTTGCAATGATCAGCTTTTATTTTTTCATGTAAAACCCTTATCCAAAAAGAAAAAACTGCTGTGACTGCTTGTGTAACTACAGTGTGAGCTGGAGTTTGGCTTCAATGGTTAGATGTACTAGCAGATTTAAATACACTAACACTCCACGCCCCTCAGACTGACAATGCTGCTGTCCAAAGGTTCCCCTGTGCTCTTTCATCCAGAGTGAGGACACTCTAATACAGGTGTGTTATAGCCTAGATCACTAGGTGAAAACAGAAGCCTAAAGAAGAAAACTAATGCAGCTACCACATTTAAATATTGGTAAGCTGCAATGTATTTAATTTATGTTTTGGGTTTAATACTGCTTTAAAAGTTGCGTGACCTATACCCATAAAACCTCTTATCCTTTATCAATGGCCAATAGAAAGACTTGGGTGGTCAAGTGGGCAGGTCCAAGGTCAACTTTTACAGACTTTCCTAACATTTTAAGCTGTTCCCATCTCTCAATTTATTGACCATTTGACATTTGTTTTTCACAGGAGGTAAAATTGCTGCTAATGCATTTTTGCTCTCAGTTTGAATTGTCAAGTTTTTTTGTCTTTTTACGTATTTTCTTTTTCGCCTTTGTACATTTGAATTGCTATTACGATTTCTTTTTTTCTTCCTTCGATTTGATTTCTCCAGTTTTCATTAATGAACCCATGAATTTTTAAATGTTTTTCTAGTGAATAAATTGGCTTGATTAAAATCTTTTTCGATTTGTTTTATTAACATTACATGTGTTTCATTTTTCCTTAACAGCAAGAATTCTGGAACATATATCTTGGTAAGACCATTATTGAAAGTTTGGGGAAGTAACTGAAAACAAAGATCGTCCTAAAAGAATGGTCATTGGATCAAGGTCTTTAGGTCTGCATTCAGTGTCGGCTAGTTTGTTATTATATCTACTGGAGGAACCTCTAGAGAACCAGATCAACAGTGTTGGATTGGGATACCTGGGGCCTACTAGAGGAAGGAAATGACAATATGGGACAACTTTATAGTGGTGACTCAGCTGTGAATATTGGGTGTAGAATATTGTGAGTGGGTGTGAAGTAGGGACATAGTATGAGGGTAACAGGCCTTCATATTATATGGTGCCACCATCGTACATTATATTATGATACTATTACATGTTGTACAAAAAGGTCAGCATAGCAAATTATATCAAGCTGCAACAACAGTTATATTACCCAGCAAGCATACCATGCCATATTGACAATTCTATTAGTCAGTAAGAACTTAACAAACTGCCACAACAGATTCACTGCTTCCAAAGTCAGCACATTATACATACCTCCCAACTTTACATTTTAGGAAAGAGGGACACTTGGGTGTAGAGAAAAAATGCAGAGAATAGTGGATGTGCTTGAGTTGTGTTCACTGCTGTGCATGGCTTAAAAGGCTGTGGTTAAGTAAAATCTGAACCCACTTGCATTACACACTGTACACATACCCCCCAGTCCAGGGGCGGACTGACCATTTGGAAACTCGGGCTCTGCCCGAGGGCCCGGGGTCAGTAGGGGGCCCCATGAGGTGCCCCTGGTACCTTTTTCATAGGCTTTTTGAGTTTGGGCAGGGACACAGGGGCCCCGTGATCCCCTATTGCCCGGGGGCCCCATGAGTTTGTCAGTCCCCCTGCCCCAGTCTGTCTACAACCGTGCCACAGCCTGGATTTACAAGATGCCGGATTTTAATCTGAGACAGCTGGGGTGTGTGTATATATTGCGCCACAACAGAAATCTCTGTAATGTATTATATTTTGTCAGTCAACGGAATATGAAATAAGTGGGTAAAATAGTATTGTCTCACTCAGTCAGTACCCTATTTACTTTTTAGCATTAATCCTCCAATTATTTTTAGTATGTTTTCCTCACAAGCAGTTTTTTTTTTCACACATTGGTTTTCACCCTATCACCTACTATTGAAGTGTTACTAAACCCACAACAGTAAAGTCAGTCTGTATATGCAGTAAAGCATGCTTATTATACACACTATTGAACCTAAGGGGTTAATCCTCTGCATTGTGTAAAAAGGATGTTTGATCCTGTCTTCTGTGATCCTCTCCTTCTTCCACAGTCCCCAATCCATCTGCTGATTGAACAGAGCCTTGGGGCAAGCTGCACGTGCTCAGTTTGGTTTGTATTGCTAGAGAGTTTTTTTTTTCTTGGGAGCATGCATGTGATCAGCACAAGGAGAATCGGAGCTATCCAGACAGAGGGTCGGGATCATGCACCCTCATAGAGCAGTGAGAGGAGAATGAAAACTCCTCCTACAAACTTTAACCAGTGCTCTGCTGGACACTGATAGAAGTCACAAGACTGCTATATGCTGTTGATGAGAAAAAGTATTTAGCAGTTTATATTTACTAAAATAATTGCATTTCCATGTTCTGTGTACTGTGAAAGACCAGATATAGTGAATGCAGGGTCCTGGTGTTAGTAACACTTTAATATAAAACCTTCCAAGCCATTTACAACTTGGAATTGACCCAGTCCCAGATCTCTGAGTAGCAAACCTCAACCAAACCTCTGCCAAGTACCCCCACAACTTTCCTGCCACAGTTAGGATTGGTTCAGCACAATCCCATGTTCCGCCATCTCCTTTCCTGTGCCAAATCCGAACCGCAATACAATTAAAAATCTATGGTGGAAATGAAAGAGAATGGTCCATTACAAGGCTCCAACCTGCAAAGCTGATCTTGCAACTGCAATAAGAGAAAGTTGGAGCCGGATTGATGAAGAATACAGTTTGTCAATAGTTAAATCCATGCCTCAGACAATTCAAGCTGTTAAAAAAAGCCAGAGGTGGTGCATCAAAGTACTAGTGTGGTATACTGTAGTGGTTTTTTTTCATAATATTTTCCTCAGAATTGATTGATTCCATATTTTTTTCCTTTTTTTGATCTACAAAAACAGTTGCAAATGACTAGAGTTTTCTTTCTTTTTTATTTTTTTTAAGTGTTTCTTAGTCAGAAGGTTGGAATGTTAAATGAAAATAGTTTTGAGGCATGTCTGTGATTGTTTTTTTTTTTCCCCACAAACTTAGACAATTGAATGAACATTTTCCAAGAGTGGTGATTCTATACTTTTTGCCAGTTTTTTCTGACTGATATAAATAAATTTTGACACCCTGATAGTCCTTCATATCTAGAATTGTTGGCTGGATGCAATCCAATGATGGCATATGGTTATATTGATTAGATATACTATACAACCTATAGGGTTTTTCTGTATTAAAACATATTAGCATAGTTGCCAATATTGGAAAATTAGAAGGGACATCTATAAAGCAAAAAACAAAATGGTGGCGTGTAAAGCGTGTCGAGTGTATTGGGGACAGGGGGAAATAAAGTGGTTGTGACCAATAGAATGGGTGTGGCTTTGTTTAGGGAGGTCACAATTAATCTACAGTAAAAAAAAAGGTAAGGTCACTCCACTGGTTGAACACAGGCATGTATGTCTGCAAATCACAAAAGTGAATAAACACTTTGGGATTGATTTACTAAAACTGGAGAGTGCATAATCTTGTGCAGCTGTGCATGGTAGCCAATCAGCTTCTAACTTTAGCTTGTTCAATTAACAAAAATTCTGGAAGCGGATTGGTTTCTATGCAGAGCTGCACCAGATGTTGCACTCTCCAGTTTTAGTAAATCAACCCCATTTTGTCAGGAAAATAAGTTCACATGTATGGATTTCAACTGTCTCTTTACCTGTCTGGCTGGGTTTCAGAACTCATTTCTATTTGTATACTCTAGATGGAGACCAGTGTAATCCTAATCCTTGTTTTTATGGTGGATCATGCAAAGATGGCATTGGTGGATTTACTTGTCTCTGTAATGCAGGCTTTGAGGGCAAAAAATGTGAAGCTGGTAAGTCCTTATTAAGTCCTTAGCAAAAAAGCAACTGGTAACTACCATATGCGTTTACGGTTGTTAATGTTTACTGAAATACATCTCTGGTGTCCAGATCTAGTTATATATTTTCCGTCCCTCAAAGTCCAACTGTTTTGCTCTAACCAACCCCCTCCCTGTTCAAAACCCAGTTGACTTTCATATTGTAGCAACACACGGCTTGCTTTAATGCAGAAGTTTGTCCCCTCCTAGTCTGGCATCCAGGACACCATTTTTCTCTTAGTATGAGGATCCAAAAATTCTATTGATCAATGAAGGAAGAATTATGCTTTTGCATATGACAGTTAATAGGTGTTCCTGGATTGCCATGATTACATATTCCCTATGATCTCACAATGATTTCTTCCTTCTTGGTGACTACAGCATTTTTTTTTTCTTTCAAACATCTAGACTATTACTTCTCGTGTTCAGTCCATATTACCTGAGGAAGCATAATTTTGCATAATGCATCAAGCAATTGTTCCTTTTCCCATTGTAAAATATGGCTGATGGATAGAATAGTATATTTACTATAATATTATAAGAGAGTTTGAATGACAATGCAAGGGAACAATGGTGATATAAGAACATCTGTATCTGGTAATGTATGTAATGACTTATCACAAAGATTTGCTTTATTTTTTGTATATATATATATAATCAGAATTACACCTTCAAAGTCCCATCTACTTGTTTATGCTTTGGATATATTTTACTGTTCTGTTAGCAAATTGCTTCTAAATGGACCTCGTCATGAACAGGATGCCTTGACGAGTGTGTACTGCCTCCAGAAGCCTTGCTGCCCTAGGCTACAACCTGTGTTGGCCATGCAGAAACCTTAGTGGTATCTAATGACATTTTCCAATCTGTGGTTAAATTGTGTTATATACACTGCTCTCTGGAAGAAACGATACACCTGTGTGATTTATGGTTGTCCCAGTAAGGACTGCATTCAGTTAGCTGATGAACTCCATTCAACTAGCTGAAAGCAGCTCCTACTTATAATACTATAAACAGAATGGTCGGCCATGTTTATAATACTTAAAGCTGGCCTGTAAACCCCCCCCCCATTCCTTATTTATAATGCCCATTCATGTTTTAGCCCTTTGAGGACCGTAAGGTTTTGGAACGCCAAAAGAATAAATTTTTTTGTTTTTAAAGTTTGTACACTTCAGTTGCTGTAACTAAGCCATTTCATGAAATAATTGGCAAAAAGCTACATCCATTTGTTGTTTGTTGATAAGAACTAATATTTTGACTCAAATCAAAAAAAAAAAAGAGTTTTAAGTTCTTAATCAGATGATACACGCAATTAAAAACATGGGACAAATACGTCCCTTGGTCCTCAAAGGGTTAAAATGTATTAACTATGAATCCCATGGCTTTGAATTGACCTGACAGCCCTTGTAGAGCAAAAGCGCATGTCTATGGTCACTGTGTGCACAAATCCCTGTGAGCTAGAACAGTCCAGCACTAACATTCCCCCATTTCTCATCTACTGCAATATCACGCCTATAAACCATGTAGTGGGCACTACTAAGTGGGCAGACCATAGTCAAAGCATTTTGTTAAATCCCCCCCACCCCCCAGACCAGGCCTGTATTTGAATTCTACTGCAGATGTTACTAAAGTCCACACTAATGTGTATGGTGCTTTATGTTTCAGTTATCCTAAAAATGTGCAGCCTAAACAATGGTGGCTGTGAACAGTATTGCAAAGTGGAGGGCAGAGAGGTAGTCTGTTCATGTACCGCTGGCTATACCCTGGCAGATGATGGCAAATCCTGTGTTTCAAGTGGTAAGAAAGCTTCATTACAAATTGTTAAAAATGATGGGTTACAACATGTCAATTCATATACTTGTGTGCTCGTTTTGTAGCCAGAGCCTTCCCAACACAGACATATCACAGTGTTCTATAGCTCCAGCACATAAATTTCCTGGATGGTGATTTCACGCCATCCAGCATGTATGTGAACGTTCTCATTTATCCAGGTGATGGTAAAACTAGAAGTAGGGATGGTAACCCTATTACTAGTATTGCTAAATGCAACAGCTTCCTGCTAGGGCTGGTAATTACGGAGGTCCCCATACCATTGGGAATCCACTGGCAATGTTGTTTTAAGAAATTTTGCATTTTTATGTTTCACTTCAAGCATTAATGAAATTCCTGCTCCCTTCCAAACTTCTTTTGCTTTAGTACATGTCCCCCAGGGCAGTGTCCAATGTTGTTTAACAAACTACCCCATAATTGCATTCATATACAGCTAGCAGTAATTAGTCACATTTACCTGGAATTGCTGTTACTGTTGCCACTCAACCAAGCCCATTACCACATTCAGATTTAAACACAGAGTATAATTAAAGTGGTTCTAAAGCCTCAAGGTTTAAGGTTTTACTTTAATATATTCTCTGCATTAAGGTAGAAAACCTTCTGTGTTGCAGGTTTCCCCCCCCCTTACATTTACTTGACCCTGATCTCGATCCATTGATACTGTAAGCATAAGAGCAGTAGCTTTCTGCTCTCTTCCTCCTCACAGTGCAGATTGATTGCAGAGAGAGCCATTGGCTCCTGCTGCTGCCAATCAAATCCTTTGAGGAAGGAGCGGGGCAAGGCAAAGCCCCAGTGTCTGTGTCAATGGGCTTGGAAGCGAACCTGAACAAGTACCCCCCCCCCCCCATAGCAAGTGGCTTGCTGGGAGAGTATTTAGAAGGGTGGAGAAAACAGGAGCTCCAGCGGGGAACCCCAGAAAAGGAGGATCAGAACTGCTCTGTGCAAAACCATTGCACAGAGCAGGTAAGTATAACATGTTTGTTATTTAAAAAAACAAAAGGTTTAATATCACTTTAAATTATTATTTATTTATTTTTTTGCTCAATAAAAAATGTAGACAGTGAAATGATGGGTGAAGTAATGTTGTGGTGCATGTCAAACTATTAGCATAACTCTCTTAGATCAGCCTTTCTCAACCTTTTTAATATGGAGGAACCCCGGAAATAACTTTCCGGTCTCAGGAAACCCCTGCTAATATTTATGTGATGGTCACTGGGAACAATTCTCCTTTCACTTGCAGTCATTGGGAAGAATGCTTTCCTTACAAATAATGAAAAGATCATTGATGTCAGCAGTTACTTATCTGAGAGTCTCAAATTGTTCATTGCTCATGGAATCCCTAGCAACCTGTGGAACATACCTGAGGCTTAATGAAACCCTGGTTCAGAAAGGCTGTCTTAGATTTTCTGAATTCAATGAACTGAAATCTTATCTGGATGCCCTAGGTCAGAGCACTCAGCACATTCTTATTGCTTCCTACAATGTCTTACTGTATATAGACCAAAAGTCCCTTTTGGAATTCAAGTGCAAGTCCAGTCAAGACTTTTTATGTATCCATAGGTTTGATTCTTTGTCACAGGAACATGAAGTAAGGGGACATCTTATACATGGACACATATACAGTATCAATAACAAGGGGATTCTAACCTTCCTCCCATTCTACTATAAAGTGGGGTTTTTTTTCAATCTCTGTTGGAGGAATTTTCCTTCAATTCTTGTCCTAGTGGCAACATTGTTATTAGTAAAAGTAGTGAGGGGCTTGCTCCTCAATGGAGCCACCAACAGCAATAAAAATCTATTAAGACCTGACAGAGATTCTAATCTTTCCCCTCCCAATCAAAAATATGTTTTGGTTGTGGTTTGTTAATGATGAGTTTTGGATGAATATCAGACAGGAACAACGTGTGTACTGGCTATGACTATGTCATATGACTGTCAATATTTTATAAGAGTAGCTATGGCCCATCAGAGATAGGTCATAGCCATGACCCTGTAGACCAATGGCTTACAGCTGTCATCTATGACTGGTGGCAGGAGGAGCTGAGTTGGCTGTTAAAGTGTTACTAAGCCCAACAGTAAAATCAGTCTGTATATGTAGTAAAGCATGCCTGTTATACTCACTAATGAACCTAAGGGGTTAATGCTCTATATTGTTTAAAAAGGATGCTTGATCCTCTCTTCTCCGATCATCACCTTCTTCCACAATTCCCAATCCATCTGCTGATAGAACAGAGCCTTGGGGCAAGCTGCACATGCTCAGTTTGGTGATACATTGCTAGAGAGTTTTTTTTTCCTGGGAGAGTGCATGTGATCAGCACAAGGCCAATCAGCACTGTCCAGACAGAGGGTCAGGGTCCTGCAGCCTCATAGGACAATCAGGGGAGAATGAAAACTAATGCAAGCTTTAACTAGTACTTTGCTGGACACTGATAGAAGTCACAAGACTTCTCTAACTGCTGATGGGAAAAGGTATTTAGCAGTTCCATGTTCTGTGTACTGTGGAAGACCAGATATAATGAATGCAGGGTCATGGGTCTAGTAACACTTTAATATAAAGCTTTCCAAGCCATTTACAGCCTGAAATTGACCCAGTCCCAGACCCCTGAGTAGCAACCCTCAACCAAACCTCCACCAAGAGATAGGTCATAGCCATGACCCTGTGGAACAATGGCTAACAGTTGTCACCTATGATTGGTGGCAGGAGGAACTGAGTTGGCTGTTAAAGTGTTACTAAACCCACAACAGTAAAATCAGACTGTTTATGCAGGAAAGCATGCTTGTTATACTGACTGTGGAACCTGAGGGGTTAATCCTCTGCATTGTGTAAAAAGGATGCTTGATCTTGTCTTCTCTGATCCTCCCCTACTTTCTCTGTCCCCCAATCCATCAGCCATAGTTAGAGCAGTAGTGGCAAGTCTGCACATGCTCTCTTTGGTGTGTATTGCTAGAGGATTTTCTTTTTCTTTTTGGGAGGGTGTATGTGATTGGCACAAGTCCACTCAGCGCTGTCCAGACAGAGGTTCAGGAGTTATACAGCCTCATAGGACAGTCAGAGGAGAATGAAAACTCCTCCTACAAGATTACCAAGGGCTGGACACTGATAGAAGTCACAAGACTGCTCTAACTGAGGATGAGAAAAGGTATTTAGCAGTTTATATTTACTAAAATAATTGCATTTCCATGTTCTGTGTTTACAGAACATGTTCATCCCCGAGCCACTGCGTCCATAAAACACACAGAGCCACAACTTGGCCCTACCCCCTGCTCTCTCCTCATTGGCCCACTGGCTATGATTGACAGCAGCGGAAGCCAATGGTCCCCCCGCTGCTCTCTCTCAGCCGAGGCTGCCGAGAACATCGCTGGACCGGAGGGGACTCAGGTAAGGATTGGGGGGGGGAACTAGGGGGGGCGCTGCACACAGAAGGTTATTTACCTTCATGCACAGAATGCATGAAGGTAAAAAACCTTTAGCCTTTAGAACCACTTTAAGCAGCAATGACAAAAAAGATAAGGAAGACAATGTACATGTTTTTATTATGATTATTTTGGGTGGCTATTTCCTCTTTTCTTAATTTACATTTCATAGCGATTATAGACTTTGTTTGTGTGATTTAGAGAGCTATCCCTGTGGAAAAAGAGCAGCAATGTCAAGATCCAAAAGGTCAGTCTCTGAGGAAGTGGAAAAGGATGCCTCACATAAGGCAAACAATAGCATGAGTCCTGCTGACTCTGCAACACCAAGCAGCAGTGACCAAAAAGAAGTTGTATCAACAGCCTCTCCAGATTATAATCTAGACTTCGATACATCAGGAAGAATTGTGGGTGGAAGAGATTGTAAACTTGGTGAATGTCCATGGCAGGTAAAATGTTCAGCATATTAAATCTTTATGTAAATTATCAGAATACTGTATATGCAAAACATATCATTTATACTATCAATATCATTGTCTCTATTATTTTTTTTTTTTACTTTTACTGTCATTTGAAAGAGTTCTAAATTTTACTACCTCTAGGAGATGGTGAATCTCCCTAATGGGGACACAAACAGCAATAAAAAACTGACAAGTATTTTAATCTCACTTTACTCCATCCAAAACTGAAAAAAAAACCCTTTAGCTTTTAGTTATATTCCCGTCCGGCCCATGTACATAAACAACCGGACGGGAGCAGTGCAGAAGTATGTTGCCATTCATAAACAGCGCCCGCATTTACAGCCTGTGCACGCTCCCTGGGAGCGTGCAGCACTGCGATCCGGTGCCCGCTGTGTCTGGAGGTCCCGATCATGTGATCACTGATTGGTCAATCAGTGATCACATGAATAGTAGTAAGCAAGATGTCACTTCTGACATCATTGCTTACTACTAGTGAAATCTGTGAATGATCACAGAAGTCACATGGTACAAGGCTTGTGACCAATCACAGCTCTCACAGTATTTCTCAATGGCTGCAAGAATGCAAAAAAAAAACTTTAGCCTTTAGTAGCCTCAAGTCCTGGGATATTGATCTGGTCAGTTAACAGAGGGGGTTGTTAATCAGTTTCAGCTGCTTTGGTGTTAATGAAATTAACAACAGGTGCACTAGATGGGCAACAAAGAGACGACCCCCAATACAGGAATGGTTTTACAGGTGGAGGCCAGTGCCATTTTTTTCCCCTACTTGTCTTTTCTGACAGTTTTTCACTAGTTTTGCATTTGGATAAGGTCTGTGTCAGAGGTTGCACAGGCAGGTAAACTCCTCCAGGATGGCACATCAATATGTGCCATTGCCAGAAGGTGTGCTGCGTCTCCCAACACAGTCTCAAGAGCATGGACGAGATTCCAGGAGACATGCAGTTCCTCTAGGAGAGCTGGACAGGGCAGTAGAAGGTCATTAACCCATCAGCAGGATCAGCATCTGCTCCTTTGTGCAAGGAGGAACAGGAAGAGCACTACCAGAGCCCCACAAAATGACCTCCAGCAGGGCACTGGTGTAAATTTCTCTGACCAAACAATCAGGAACAGACTGTATGAGGGTGGCCTGAGGGCCCGTTGTCCTCTAGTGGGCCTTGTGCTCACCGCCCGGCACCACAGGGCTCGATTGGCATTTGCCATCTAACACCAGAATTGGCTCCCTTTGCCTTTCACAAATGAGAGCAGGCTCACCCTGAGCACATGTGACAGACATGAAAGGGTCTGGAGAAGCCATGGAGAACATTATGCTGTCTGTAACATCGTTTAGCATGACCGTTGGAGGGACGCACAGACCTCTACAGGCTAAACAATGGCACCGTGACTGCCATTAGGTATTGGGATGAAATCCTTGGACCCATTGTCATACCCTACTCTGGGTCCCGGGTTCCTCCTGGTGCATGACAATGCCCGGCCACATGTGGCGAGAGTATGCAGGCAGTTCCTTAAGGATGAAGGAATTGATACCATTGAATGGCCCCCACACTCGCCTGACCTAAATCCAATAGAACACCTCTGGGATATTATGTTTCGGTCCATATGATGCTGCCAGGTTGTACCTCAGAATGTCCTGGTCCAGATCTGGGAGGAAAAACCCCAGGACACCATCTGTCATCTTACTATGAGCATGCCCCGACATTATCAGGCATGCATGCAAGCATGTGGGGGCCATACAAACTACTGAGTACCATTTTGAATTGCTGCAAAGAAATTTCAGCAAAATGGACTAGCCTGCTGCATAATTTTTTCACTTTGATTTTCGGGGTGTCATTGAATTCAGTCCTCTGTAGGTTGATAATTTTCATTTCCATGAAATGATGGGGCATCCTTACATTCCTAACACATTACCCAGTCCATATCAGTATAGATATCCAGCATGATATTTTTCCCCATCGAGATCTGATGTGTTTTCAAAGTGTTCCTTTAATTTATTTGAGCAGTGTGTATATTATCATAGAATTCCCAACTCTAGGAAATATTTTTGTTTTAAATGGAGATGGCAGTTTAGCAACTCTGGTAAGTTTGAAATGCAGCCTGGGTGTCACTCTACTAGAATATGTTTTTATTGCTGACTGTGTCACTGTTGGGTAATTTGATTTTATATTCCAGTTTTGTCTGATGCCCATCAAATTGACAAAAAATTAGGAAAAATCTCTCAAATATTAATACAGACAATAAACATTTGAGTGGCTATTAACCACTTCAGGATGTTAGATGTAGGTGATAGACCCTAAAACAACAGTTCCTAGAGCAAATCTCCTATGCCTTGTGTTCCTTGCCATGGCTCCCGTTGCTGTTATGAGCAAATCCCAGCTGTTTGTGTAAAATGACACTTGTAATAGATCATCAAAGAATATGATGTAGCAATGTATTGTTACATTGTATTTATTCAGTTTCACTCATATTTAGAACAATAGGTTTACTTTTGATCTTCATATGTCATCAGTTAAAGTATTAATAAAGGCAAAACATTTTTTTAGTTTTGGTTAGAGCGGAGAGGGATTAGAAACACTTGTCAGTTTTTATTGTTGTCTGTGCCCCCATTAGGGAGAATTTGTCTCTGTTTGTCATGTTTACCATTATCATTGAATGTGAAAGAAAAAGAAAATCCCAAATTTTGGGTTGTTCCCAGAAAAGTAATAGAGGGGAAATCGTTATATGGGGATACTAGTTCTGGTGACATGGGGGCCCCCAAGAAATTACCTTAATTTGTAGGGATCTCCTCTCACTTCTTGTTTGGCCATGAGACAGGAAATGAAGGTACAGTTGTGTTCAAAATAATAGCAGTCAGACATCACTAACCTGATCAATCACTGTTTTTGGTAGAAATTATATTTCTACATGGCAAATAATATACTAGCAGGTGTAGTAGAGTAATAGAAATCCAACAGACCCAACAGCCATGACATGCATGCTGCTGATTCTGTGTAATTGAATCACTAATTGAAAGGGGCATGTTCAAAATAATAGCAGTGTGGAGTTCTATTAGTGAGGTCATTCATTCTTTGAAAAGCAGGTGGCAATTATTGCCCTTATTTAAGGAAGGAGGGCAGCAAATGTTGTACATGCTGGTTACAGTGCATTTCTCTCTGAAATTCTGAGGAAAATGGGTTGTTCCAGACATTGTTCAGAAGAACAGCGTACCTTGATTAAAAAGTTGATTGGAGAGGGGAAAACACATAAAGAAGTGCAGAAAATGATAGGCTGCTCAGCTAAAATGATCGCAAATGCTTTAAAATGGCAACCAAAACCTGAAAGACATGGAAGAAAGCAAAAAACTACCATTCGAATGGATAGAAGAATAGCCAAAATGGCAAGGACTCAGCCAACAATCAGCTCCAGGAAGATCAAAGAAGGTCTAAAGTTACCTGTGAGTACTGTTACAATTAGAAGACGCCTATGTGAAGCCAAGCTATCTGCAAGAAGCCCCCGCAAAGTCCCACTGTTGAAAAAAAGACGTGCTGAAGAGGTTACAATTTGCTAAAGAGCACATTGACTGGCCTAAGGAGAAATGGTGCAACATTTTGTGGACTGATAAAAGTAAGATTGTTCTTTTTGGGTCTAGTGGCCGGAGACAGTTTGTCAGACGACCCCCAAACACTGAATTCAAGCCACAGTACACTGTGAAGACAGTGAAGCATGGTTGTGCAAGCATCATGATATGGGGATGTTTTTCATACTACGGTGTTGGGCCTATTTATTGCATACCAGGATCATGGATGAGTTTGAATACATCAGGATACTTGAAGAGGTCATGCTGCCTTATGCTGAAGAGGAAATGCCCCTGAAATGGGTGTTCCAACAAGACAACGACTCCAAACACACCAGTAAATGTGCAACAGTTTCTGAGGCAAAACCAAGAAATAGAGAAGAACTGTGGAATGTAGTCCAATCATCCTGGGCTGGAATACCTGTTCACAGGTGCCAGGAGTTGGTTGACTCCATGCAACACAGATGTACAGCAGTTCTCTTCAAACATTTTTCAGTTTATATAGTGAATGTTTGAGTTTGTAAAGAAGAATACAAACACTGCTATTTTTCTAATATTTAGTCTAATATTTACTTTTCTTAAAATTTTTTTAGAGGAACAACACAAATTTGATATATTTTTCTTCATGTTTTGATTTGGAATAGAATGTGCAGTGTTCCCAATGCATTTGTGTGTATTGAAATAAAAGCTTTTAGAAGGATTTTGAGCTTTATTCACTTTTTTCAACACACTATTATTTTGAACACAACTGTAAATTTCCCTGATGGGACATAGAGGGCAAAAATAAACCTTATAGGCATTATAACTCTCCCTTATTCTATCCAAAATGAAAAAAAAAAGTTTTGCCTATAGTTCTACTTTAACGGATAAATTTACCTTTAAGAACACGTTTGTAACCCTGTTTGTAACATGTTCCCAATGCTGCAGCTGCCGCCCGCTGCTCCCTCCTCAATCTACCAGAAGTACAGGGAGAAGTTCCCCATACTATCTGTCACATGGCCATGTCATTAATTTACAGAGTCCTGTGATTGAATGCACTACAAGTCCCGACAGCCTAGCATCTTAGCGGTTCTCAATAAACTACCACAGTGCTTTGGAGAACCGTGGTAGTTTCGTGGTAGTTCATTGAATCCCCATGTCAGTATATCTGTTTGCTTGTACATCCCGTATGAGCAAGCAGATATACTGACAGATCTGCAATGCTTTACAGACTCCTGTAGCCAAAAATAATAAATGCACATTTTTTACCTGCAAAAAATGTGCATTTATTATTTTTGTGCAAAGTTGAACTTATCCTTTAACCGCTTCCTGACTGCCTTATAGCAGATGTACTGCTACAGGGCAGCACAGATGTGCACAATCATGTATATATACATGATTTTTCATTGCTGTGTAGGAGGTGCACGCAAGGTATGCACACATGCTACCCATGCCACTATTTGCGGCCGCGGCTGTCAATCACCGGGTCCCAGCTGGTGATTGACAAGGATCTCCGACGGGGAGGAGAACTGCATGTAAACAATACAGTTCTCCCTGTCAGCTCGTGCACACTGCTTTGAATGGCTGTGCACAACACAGCCATCCAAAGTGAAACACCAACACACAGCACATAGTAAAACAGCACACAGTTAACCCTTTGATCGCCCCTCATAATAACCCCTTCCTGCCCAGTGCCATTAGTACAGTGTCAGTGCTTTTGTTTACCACTGATCACTGTATTGGTGTCTCTGGGGATATCAGTGACACCAAGTCAGTTCCCCCCATGTCAGAATACCCTCCGTAGTCCCGCTATAAGTCGCTGATCACTGCCATTACTAGTAAAAATAAAGAAGAGATAATTCCAGTATATTCTGCCATTTGTAAATGCTATAACTTTCACGTAAACCAATTAATTTACATGTACTGGGATTTTTTTTTAGCAAAGACGTGTAGTAGAATACATTTTGGCCTATATTTGTGATGAAATTTGTTTGTTTTTTTTACTGGGTATGTTTAATAGCAAAAAGTCAAAAATATTGTTTTTCTTTCTCAATATTGTCGGTCTCTTTTTTATAGCACAAAAAATTAAAACCGCAGAGGAAATTAAAAAAAACTAAAGAAAGCTCTATTTGTGGGAAAAAAGGACGTAAATTTCATTTGGGTGCAGCGTTCCATGACCGCGCAATTGTCAGTTAAAATAACACAATGTCGTAATGCAAAAAATGGCCTGGTCAGGAAGGGGGGTAAATCCTCAAGAGGGCAAATGCAAACAAACAAGTAAAAAACAATTTAAACAAAATGTATTCATACCTAATTTCTCTTTAATCCTAATCAGTCCTAGTTATTTCTTCCTTCATTACTCCTCTTAGCTAATGTTTTTCTGATATTTGTGTAAGTTCTAATTTTTATTATTTAAAGTTTTTTTTTTTCTTTTGGCTTGTTTGATAGAATTTTTAAATTTTTAATAGTTTTTAATAAAAAAATGCACAAAACTGTAAAAAAGACATTTCATGTATAAATTAGCTCTACAAAGTTAGCTCTGTCAGAGGGCCCCATCTAAATAGTTCATAGTTCTGGACAGAGTTTTGTTAAAGACATTAGTCTGTGCCAATGAAACTTAAACAGTATAAAAAAAGTAAAATATTCTTTCTAAAGTTGTCTCTGTGCATCTTCACAGGCTCTCTTGATAAGTGATGAAAATGAGCCTTTTTGTGGTGGAACGATCCTGTCCAATCAGTTTATCCTCACTGCAGCTCACTGCATGAATCAGACCAAATTCTTCAAAGTTGTTGTTGGTAAGTATTAGAGAAGACCATGTTTAACCCAGAGAAGTGAATGGTAACATACCCTGCTTGCTCATTTGTTCATTTTTTCATCATAGTATTGCCATAGTGCACCGGGTCCACTTTTAACACTTGGTCTACTCTGTATTACCTCTTTCACCCTTCTGCTTCTCCTAACATCTGGAGACATTTCCCTAAATCCTGGGCCACCATCTTTGTCCTTTGATCAACATGCCCGGCACCCCGTATTCTCTAACAGCAGCTGCAATCCACACAATCTAGTCACTATTCCTCTTCTCCAATTTTCAAATATACACATGACACAATGTTAAAATAAATTTTACATGTCTTTATTACACTGATTTAAGAATAATCTTTGAATGTAGGTCCGTCCGTGTTTCGTGATATGACCATTGATCTAGAACTCAGAAGTATAGGTACAGTAATCACTTCCACAGTCAGAATTCAATTTCACTTATAAATAAGTGTTTTGTTGGTGAGTCAGTGGGAAACTCTGTCCTGTCATACCTTGCTGGCCCATGGGAGGACCACCACTAGGGAGATGTGATCAACTTAAAAAAAGAATGATTTACTAATTGCATAAGGATGGTGCTGATCCTATTCATCATCACTGTCATTCCCAATAAGGGGCCATGGAAAGAAATATCAATCTCATATGGGCAGGAAGATGAGTGAAACACACCGCATGGTACCAACAAACAAGCATCTATATGGGATTGATATTATTTCCATGGCCCCTTATAGGGAATGACAGTTGATGATGTAGAGGATCAGCACCATCATTATGCAATTAGTAACTCATTCTTGATTAAGTTGATCACATCTCCCTAGTGGTAGTCTTCCCATTGGCCAGTAAGACATGCCAGGACAGAGTTCCCCACTGACTCACCAACAAAATGCTTATTTATAAGTGAAATTGAATTCTGACTGTGGAAGTGATTACTGTACCTATACTTCTGAAATAATCCCGCAAAATGTGTTGTCCTACATTCAAAGATCTCTGAGGACTTCTAGGCTACAGTTCTTCCATCAATCTATGTGGAAGCCAAGTGGTAAAACGAACATCCAGTTTTAAATGTGTTTTTAATTAAACAAATGCTTTTTTTTAAAATCAGTGTAATAACGACATGTAAAATATCTTTTAACATTTGTGTCGTGTATATTTGACCATTGGAGGGCTATTTAAAGTCCCACTATCTTTTTTTTTTTTTGCAATGTCCTTGATGGGGATTACACCCTCCAATGGTATAACCCAGGAGTAATACCCCCCCCCCCCCCCATACATACACTGCTCAAAAAAATTAAAGGAACGCTTCTTAATCAGAGTATAGCATCAGGTCAATTAAACTCCTGGGATTTTGAGCTGGTCAGTTAAGTAGCAGAGGGGTTGTTAATCAGTTTTAGCTGCTTTGATGTTAATAAAATTAACAACAGGTGCACTAGATGGGCAACAAACAGGAATGGTTTTACAGGTGGAGGCCACTGAAATTTTTTTTTTCCCTACACATCTTTTCTTACTGTTTTTCACTAGTTTTGCATTTGGCTGGGGTGAAAGTTACTGCTGGTAGTATGAGGCGATTCATTGCCCCTACAGAGGTTGCACAGGCAGTCTAACTACTCCAGGATGCCACATCAATATGCGCCATTGCTAGAAGGTTTGCTGTGTCTCCCAGCACAGTCTCAAGAGCATGGAGGAGATTCCAGGAGACATGCAGTTACTCTAGTAGAGCCGGCCAGGATGAGCACTGGTAGAACCCTACATTATGACCTCCAACAGGCCACTGGTGTGAATGTCTCTGACCAAACAAGCAGAAACAGACTTCATGAGGGTGCCCTGAGGGCCAGACATCCTCTAGTGGGGGCCCTGTGCTCACTGCCCAGCACAACAGAGCTTGATTGGCATTTGCCATTGAACACCAGAATTGGCAGGTCCAGCACTGGCACCCCGTGTTTTTTACAAATCAAAACAGGTTCACCCTGAGCACATGTGACAGACGTGAAAGGGTCTGGAGAAGCTGTGGGGAATGTAATGCTATGTGTAACATCGTTCAGCATGACCATTTTGCTGGTGGGTCAGTGATGGTCTAGGGAGGAATATCCATGCAGGGACACACAAACCTCTACAGGCTAAATAATGGCACCCTGACTGCCATTAGGTATCTGGATGAAATCCTTGGACCCATTGTCCCACCCTACGCAGGTGCAGGGGTTTCCTGGGTTCCTCCTGGTGCACGACAATGCCCAGCCTTATGTGGCGAGAGTATGCAGACAGTTCTTGGAGGATGAAGGAATTGATACCATTGAATGGCCCCCATGCTTGCCTGACCCAAATCCAACAGAACACCTCTGGCATATCATGTTTCTCTCCATCCAACACTGCCAGGTTGCACCTCAGAATGTCCAGGAGCTCAGTGATGCCCTGGTGCAGATCTGAAAGGAAATACCCCAGGATACCATCTGTCCTTTCATTAGGAACATGCCCCGACATTATCAGGCATGCATACACACACGTGAGGGCCATACAAACTACTGAGTACCATTTTGAGTTGCTGCAATGAAATTTCAGCAAAATGGACTAGCCTTCTACATCATTTTTTCACTTTGATTTTTAGAAATCTTTGAATTCAGTCCTCTGTAGGTTGATAATTTTCATTTCCATCAAACAATGGAGCATCCTTACATTCCTAACACATTACCCAGTTCAGTATAGATATCCAGCATGATATTTTTCCCCATTGAAATCTGATGTGTTTTCAAAGTGTTCCTTTCATATTTTTTTTTCATTTTTGAAGAGTGTATATTAATTCTCAGGAATAAACAGAAATAATTTGGCAGCCGTCTTATATGTATTTTATCTGTGTATTTATTTTCCTGCCTGGCATTCTGCTTTAATGGGTAAATCCATCAGTGCCAATACAGTTATATATGGGATTTGGATGGAGATGTTCGTAAAAAGTTTATTTATATAATAATGTGTCATTCCTTAATTTTTGTAATTCCATTAGAATAACATTCTTTCCCCCCATTTCTTAAGAATTCTACTTTGTGTAATTTTGCAGGAGAGGTAAACACAGTAAAGAATGACGGCACTGAATCTACACACAAGGTTGAGAAAATAATTGTTCATCCGAAGTTCGTCAGAGCCACCTATGATTTTGATATTGCTGTAGTGAAGCTAAAAGAAGCCATTAACTACACTGATAATGTTATTCCGGCTTGCCTTCCTGATCCTGACTTTGCAGATGAAGTACTGATGAATGAGAGACAGGCCATGGTGAGCGGATTTGGACGTCTTTTTGAGCGAGGGGTTCAAGCTACAAAGCTTCAGATGCTTAATGTTCCCTACGTTGACAGACAGACTTGCAAAGAGTCTAGTAAGTTTAAAATCACAGAAAACATGTTCTGTGCTGGCTACGACAAGGAGGTAAAAGATGCTTGCCAGGGAGACAGTGGGGGCCCACACGTCACCCCATACAAAGACACGTACTTTGTGACTGGGATCGTTAGCTGGGGAGAGGGCTGTGCACAGCAAGGCAAGTATGGTGTTTACACCAAAGTATCCAGATTACATAAATGGCTTAAAGGGGTAATGAAAAGGCACCAGTAGTGTAAGTCAAAGTCTGTTGTTCCATCAAAAGGTCATAAAAGAAAAACTGATTTATGTAAAAAGTCATTCATTAACATACACATAAATGCACATACAGGTTCTTAAACCTTGTTAGAACTGCACATAATCGAAGATGATCCAACTTTTGCTGTTTATTCCATCATACTATCTTATGTTATCAGCATGGACTAATGAAATTCCTCTGGGCTTTGGTGCTACGTTTTTTGCTTCTCTTATCTTTTATAAACCACTGTGTACACCAGGGTTTCTCCAAAGGTTGCTAGGGATTCCTTGAGCAATGAGCAATATCTGTCCCTCATATAAGTTTTCACTGACACCTCTGATCATTGTAGCTATTTGTAAGGGAGTAATTCTTCCCAATGACTACAAGTGTATGGAGCATTGCTCCCACTGGCCATCTCACTAATGTATCATGAATAGATATAGTAATTTTTAGCAATGGGTTCCCTGAAACTGGAAAGTTATTTCAAGGGTTCCTCTGTGTTGAAAAGGTTGAGAAAGGCTGGTGCAGACCTTTTGTTAACAATTTTACAGAATGGCATAGGCATAAAGAGTTATTATTCTTAAGAGTACTAAACCACAGCAACCAATCAGAATCAATCCTGCCATGATTTGACTGCATAGAGTGCATTCTGATTGGCTTCTGTATGTTACTGTAGTAATAATAATAATTTAAAAAAAACAGAAGATAAAAGAATGGGTATGGGATATGAAGGACAAATAAATGTGGCTTTATTGTGAATTGAATGTAATGCAATAACATAAATAAGGTAGGAGTTATGCTTGTGTATTACGTATAGCCTCATGGACCCATGGCCCCTACTGTACCCCATGAAGTTAAGCCCTGGAGAAGCAAATATTTCAGTGAAAAAAGTTGACTTTTATGTCCTTCATTGGGGCTATAAATTCTAATAACCTCCTGTATTATTTACATGAATTTCTGAAAGAGCAATAAATCAATTAAGTGTATATACAAAAACTGTGTTTCAGCTTAGTGACCATCTAACGTCCACTCCTTTTACAATAAACACCAACACTAAAAAACACAGAGACGTAACAATGAACTAGAGTATTAGCTATTTAGAAGCCTATTTAGAGTTGAGATACAAACATAATAAAAAAAAGAGTGGAGAAGGGATAGAACCTCTGTGAGACCTTTGCACCTATGAATGAGCACAGAAGTATTTCAGTCTGGTAGGAATTGCAGGCTGAATGTAAATTAAAGTAAACTGCATATGCCCAGCAGAACAAATAATAACACTGCAGCAAGAAGTGTGGGAGCTCCAACAAATGGGGGCCCAGAAAACAATGACAACCTAGTGGAAGTTCTAAATGTTACCAATGATATCCAAAACTCTAATAAAAAAAAAAAGTCTTGTCTGGAGTTACATTTTAATAGTAAGCATGCAAAACATCTGTGACTGCACATGTTCATTTTATGGATTATTATATACTGTAATGATATGTTTGAATAAGACAATAATTCACTGACGCTAACCTGCTGAAATTATATCAACCGACAAGTAACAGATAAAGAATGCCTATGTTCAGGAACTGCTGGCTGCTAAACTACTTTGGAATATTTTAATACAAGTTGCAAAACATGTATCATTTTATATGTTTGCTCATACTTGTATGCATATTTGTAGTTGGTTACTACCGGTTTACCTATTTTTTAAGCCAACATTCTTATGTAATACATTCATATACATATTTAATAAAAAAAATAGTGCTTTCACGAAAAATATAACATCTTGCACTTATGTAAATTAAGTGTTTCAATAAAGGGACAGTTTTCAAAAATGTGGATTGATACATATAGTATATAGTAGAAAATGTGTGTGCTTTGTTTGCAAACTAGTATATTAAATTACTGATATTAAAACAAAATCTTGTATATCTGCAACTACAGCTATACTGAACTGAATACTCTAGATAACTAACTCTATTGCATCATAAATGACAGTAAAGGGAGATTTTCAACATTTATATACATCCCAAACTATTCCAGTTGCAGCAGGAATGTCACAATTCACTGGGTTCCTAGAGTACTGGGCTTGGTGAAAGGTTAAAGTAGTTTGGGCAAATATACTGTAGGTGGTTCCTTATGTGTCCTAATTTTTAATTTAGAGAGTTTGGGTATTATGTTTTAATTGACTCTGTCCAACATTCCTATCATCACAGTAGAAAAATGAAAAGCAGTAGTAGTTATTTCTGCACATAGATGTAAGACATTCTTTGACAGTCTTCTCCATGGTACAGCTATGGGAATTCTTCCCTTCTTTATTGTTTACTCATGGCTGAAAGGCAGGTAAGAGAACCAATCAAAAAATGATGTTTGCCACAGAACTGGCCATCAAGGGATGAATTGTCCCAGTTTTATCTTTCAACGCATATGGAAGCAAGAAAAATGTACTTCTTATTGAGAAACCTTTTCAAATGGCTTGTTTTTGTACATACAACTTTTGTTCATAGTTAAAATGGTACAGCAACATTTTTTAAACATCATTTAGGATAGGAGTTTCACATTTGGAAAATTTCTACTAACGTTTTCCACCTGAGACAGTGGTCACCAAGGCAAAACATGAAGAGAAATATCTACCACATTGACAGTGAAGATATTATGGGAAGGGTTTCTGTTTTTATTTCTGCCTGTGTCCTCAGAGATGTCCTAATAACAGTTACACCAGGAAGAAAGGGGAAATCTCTTCACTGGGGGGATAAAGAAAATAAAAACATAGCAGAAGTTGTAACCTTGAATTACACTTTAAATAGGTTTAAAAGCATTGGGTTACAGCTCTCACAAACTCCAGAAGTTCTGGTCCAGAAGAAGGCAACAACAACACCCCTAGAACTGCTAAACATTTTACCAAATAGGAGGGAAAAAATATTTCTAATCCCACCAAGCCAGCCAGATCAAGTCTCTAGGTCAAAATAGACTTTGGAATACTAAATAACATAGAATAGTGCAAATACCATGACAGGAGTATTGCCTCACATGTAGAGTTCACAGACTGTTCGTACATATTGGATCAACTAAGGTAAGGACACCTTTACAAAGCCAGATAAGTAGGTTAAACAACTGCAGTTCAGAAAAAAACAGTACTTGTTTTTGAAAATGTACTGTAATGGCCATGTTTGGTCCAATATATCAAACAAGAACATGCAGCGCTACTATAATTCCATGATATAATTATATAGAGTGTCTAGACAAAAAATGGTATTGTGAACACCACTTAATCATAAGGTGATTATGGTAATATCTAAACCGTCCAAAAATTATGAGAATGGTGACTATGAATCTTCAACAAGAGTGTCCTTGCAGTGCATCGTGTCAAATCTCAGTGAAACAATAGTGAAGAAATTGGTGACTTTTGTGACCTTGTTTGTTCCCACAGAGATGAGTGTAGATTGCACTAACAAGAAAGCACAATGGTAATGCGCATTTGAGTGTTAACCAACTCCTGGTCATCATCTGCCTATTGAAACTGGATCACTGGGAAAGGTCATCTGGCCTGCAACAGCTGGGCAGAAATCACAACCTCTAGGTCCCCCAGGTACCAGGGGATATCTACTCGTCTCACCAGCAGTGGGAGATTCCTCGATCACTGTGTGGCCACCAGATCATCCCAAATATGCCTTGGAGGGGGGGCTCAGGAGTAACGAGCCAGAACAACAAAAAATACTGATAGTGTGGTATTTTTATTATCCACCAAGATATAATAGATACAACATCAGATATGCTACTCACATGCTGTAGTAGGTAGGTAGCTAGGTAGTAGTAAAAATCCCTTTGACAACGTGCAAGCGCACGAAACGCGTTAGAGAGGTGCCCTATATACCCTGTGACGTCACACTACACGGCCCCTGTGGACAGCCGGTGGCCATTTTGGATTTTTACTACTACCTAGCTACCCATCCTACTACAGCATGTATTATTTTTACTATTTTTATTCGCTAAAAATAATTACTATACCGTATTGACACTGTGATCCTATGCAAACATTAGTCCGAATACCTGTATAAATGTTGTAGATGTTTTAAGTAATCTTGATGTAGTGCCTTTGGTTGTGCTGACATCGGTGTATTGCTTTTTTATCAGCAGTACTTGTTGTACCTTAGCAAAGGCTTAAGAACAGGTGTGTCAAACTCAAGTTCATCGCAGGCCACATCAGCAAGATGGTTGTTCTCAAACTGCCATTTGTATGTGTAAAACTAGATGTCCAGAGCACCCCGCCATCCTTAAATCAGATGTCAAGAGACCCCCACCCCCTTTTACATCACAATGCACCCCCTTGCCTTGTGCTGCTGCAAGGAAGAAGTTGGGGATGGAGCTGGGAAGCAGAAAGTGGGGGGTCTGGAGGAAGATCAGAGGAAGGCTGGAATCAGCTTCAACAGTCTGCTGAATGCTGAGACCAGGGGAGGCTGAGATGAGGGGGTGCTGAGGCTGCACAGAGAGGTGCAGGATTTGTAGAAGGAGTTGTGTCCTCCTCTTTGCTGCCAACTGCTGAGATAGGGGGGGGGGAGGGCAGACGAGAGCCTCTCTGTGGCTGCATGGAGAAGTACAGGATATCCCTGAGGAGTTCTATCCTCCTCTCTGACTGTCTGATGCTGACTGCTTAGGGAAGGTGGAGGCGGAGATGAGGGGGTTGCCACAGCTGCAGAAGAGGTGCGAGGGCCACATGAAATGACCGGGGGGGGCCAAATTCTGCCCGCGGACCTTGTATTTGACACAAGTACTTTAGAACATGTCTGGGAAACTTGGTTTCCAACCAAACTAGGAAAGAGGAGATGCTGGCACTCATCCTAAAATATTCCTTTACCAGTGGCTTCACACACATAAAATGCAGTTCACAAAACTAGCAGCAACATAACAATTTTGAAGCTGCAGCTTATGAAGTCAGTTTCATAAGAAATAGCATAATGAATTTTGAGAATTTGACCAGATGGCATCTACAATTTGGCTATGTTTAGGGAAT